TCGTGAGGTAATTATGAAAACACATTAATCAGCGATCTGCTATTGATAAAGCTCCAAACCAACACCTATTGTATCTAACATGATTATTTGGTTTATCTCACTAATATTTATTCTCTAATAAGGATACATGTTTTCATCTGTTTGTTACATTCGGGTTTTCGGTCTGGATTCATGGTTACCATCATACTTATGTAAAAAATAAAATGATTCTTTACATGCTCTAATGTGTATTGCGTGTAACTCTTTTATCTAAGAAGCTCTCTGTGATGTTGTTTATGATAAGGAAACGTTCTGCTCCTGATAGTCATAAAGCACTTTACGACTTGTAGCTTTTTTTCATGGAGTGACAAGACTGGGAGTTCACGGCTTTGAAGTGTGGAAGCTGGACTCGCTGAGACCGATGTAGACTGGGCATTTGACCAATAGCCGTCCATTGAGATAAAGTCATTGCCACGACTTGTGCAAGATCCTTAAAAAGAAGTTCTGTATTCATTTAGTGGTATCTCTTCACAGCTGTGGCTGTGAGAATAGTGAAAGTTTGCTTACGAGACAAAGCAGGCAAAGTGGACGAGACGAGGAAAGCTGGTTAGTAGGACAAGTCGCGGTGGGTCCAGACGCAATGCATATACATAGGCTGACAGATCTTCAGTTACGGACTTTAGATTTGACCGAACTATTTTCAGAATTGAAGCTTCCAAACATGAAGTCGTATATACAAAATGTAAGTTAAAACTACGACAATGAATTTTATATGATTTATATCCAAAGTGTTATAGAAATAGAAATTAAACATATAGATATTGATATTATACAAAATCTAGAACACTATGTATTAACGATATAGAGAAAGGGGTCCTTGTACGGAAAATTAAACATAAATAGTCAGAAATGTTGAAAAACAAAGCTGGCGGCCGGTATCGTTAAAAAATGTATCTGAATTTGCATAACGATGGAATTTTTTTGTATATATAAATAACCTGCATTTCTAAAGCACCGTGAAACTGAAAGCAAAGAAGTAAGGAATTTCTAGACACGTGTTTTAACAATTCAGATCCCTTCACGTGCAGATTTTTCGTTTGACATTGTGCCAAATGAAATACAGGCATTTTCACTTGCACACTGTTAGTGATATGCTTTGACAGAAGGACAACGTGCGCTGCATCCACGGCATGTCTACGTCTCACACTTTAAGAAACATTTCTTTCAAAAGCACTGCCGCGCACAGTCTGCTCAGAACAATCACAACAGGGCTGGCACTTAGTATTGGCACCTAACGGAAACATACATCGTAATGTTTCATTTCCATATGTTACATGACCTTTGCACAAATTGGTAGACTTGGCTATGACCTACTTTGTGACATCGTGCAAAACAAGTGAGTGGAAAAAATGTTCTTATTTACACATTTACTTTTATCACGTCTGTCTGTCTGTCTGTTAGGCTGTCTGTCTGTCTGTCTGTCTCCGTGAACATAATGGAAAAATAAGCAAAATGCGAGTGACCTTCAGATGCCGTATTTATGTTTCTTTGTTTTGCTTAAAACAAAACACGGGTTTATTATTCATGATAGAATTATTTGAAAGTGTAATACAATCTATACTTAACACGACGCTAGTCGAAGAGGAAGGGTGCCCGTAGTTTTGATTTCATGTGAAAGCAAAAAAGTCCTTCATATTCCTACGCAAAATTAAATAAAGTTTAAATAAAGTTCAAATGCTGATTTTAATTGACAAATGAATAAAATTAGTATAAATATTTCTAATAAGATAAATATAATGTTTTAAAATGTTAACGTCCATAAACTGATTGATAGTTCGAGGCGTTCAGTTTCGATTTTTTTAAATACCCATTTGCTAAACGTCTATGGCTACCCCCCCTCTATTAGAAGACTTTATAAATGTGAAGGTATCTTCTATTTCATTTTAGCAAAATATGTAGTATTTCTAAACATGTTGGAAATTGTTGGAAAAGTTGGAAATATAAATATTTTTTCTACAAAAAGTATTTCATTTTTGAGGATAACATATCAGTCCTTTAAAAGCGAAATCGGACAGCATTTGATCATAACCTTAATTATACAATTAATTATTGTTGTTAAGTAATTAATTATACAACAAACAATTGTTAATTAAACAATGTAAACAAATTGTAGATAATGCTAACTATTGTCGAATTTCATCACTACTGTAGCATTGACGGAGTACATGAAACTGGTTTATAGGCGCTAGAACATTGCTTTGCAAAGGGAATGCTATTTCAGTGTTCTGAATGACTTAAATCATTACCCTGTATTATCCTGTTTAAAATTCCAAGCCTCACGTCGATTCCTACTTACCTATGAAACGAAGTACATGTTGTACTGTTGTAAACATTAACTAAATGATTATCAGCAGCAGCAGCAATCATTGTTAGTGTTGGTATGCAAACGTGTACAGAGGAATATTCAGTAAACTAGAAACGAATACTTTGTACAGGCTGACAATGACTCCTTTACATTATTTCTGCAGCACTTATTTGTAAACAAATTTTCATTGTTATTCTCTCATGACAAGTGTATGGAACAAGGTATCAAAGTACTTACATCCGTTTTGTAATCGCGGACTCATAAAAACTGGTGTGTTTTCCAATACTGTTATTTATGGTGTGTTTCGTCTTAAGCTTCTCCAAACATTGTGAACAATATCAGCACAAATACATAATCATTTGCAATAGAGTCTTTATACCAAATAGTCGACTTCCTCAAACACCAAATATGATATATATCTCAACTCTGTCTGTGGATGGTCACTTGTAAAACTAGAATCAAACACCAGATATAATGTATACCTCAACTCTGTCTATGGATGGTCACCTCTAAAACTAGAATCAAACACCAAATATAATATAACCTCAACTCTGACTGGGGATGGCCACCTGTAAAACTAGAATCAAACACCACATATAATATATACTTCAACTCTGTCTGTGGTTGGTCACCTGTAAAACTAGAATCAAACACCAGATATAATATATACTTCAACTCTGTCTATGGATGGTCACCTGTAAAACTAGAATCAAACACCACATATAACATATACCTCAACTCTGTCGGTGGATGGTCACCTGTAAAACTAGAATCAAACACCAGATATAATATAGACCTCAACTCTGTCTGTGGATGGGCACCTGTAAAACTAGAATCAAACACCACATATAATATATACTTCAACTCTGTCTGTGGATGGTCACCTGTAAAACTAGAATCAAACACCAGATATAATATATACCTCAACTCTGTCTGTGGATGGGCACCTGTAAAACTAGAATCAAACACCACATATAACATATACCTCAACTCTGTCGGTGGATGGTCACCTGTAAAACTAGAATCAAACACTACATATAATATATACTTCAACTCTGTCTATGGATGGTCACCTGTAAAACTAGAATTAAACACCAGATATAATATATACCTCAACTCTGTCTGTGGATGGGCACCTGTAAAATTAGAATTCCTGTTTATAACAGCCAAGATATTAAAACACTTGGGTCGTCTTTTAAAAAAGAAATCCTATACTGTTTGTCAAACATCAAACGAATTCCAGCCGAGATATTGGCACGGTGTTTTCTTGTTGTTAAAGGTTAAATGAAGAAAAAGTCTTAATGTACGGTTATTGGCTGGAAACAATCGATTATTCGTGTATATTGATCTATTAACGTTCATATTTTTGTCATTATTTATTCAAAATGTGAACTAAAACTACCTTATATTAGATGCGACAAATAAAATCGGTCTTGTCAAGAATTCGTTTAGAACCCGACCGATTTTTTTTAATGCGGTGTTGTCTAACGGGAACGTTATCATTTTTTAAATATCAGGATATCATCTTTATTCACCATGATTGCTTGATGAAACAAATAACTATTGCAGGAGACTTGTTTTGTAGCCCTAGGTTTTATAGTAAAGTTTATTTAGTACACGTCTATATATAATACAGCTGTAGCAGTGCATGGCTGTTTGTATATACACATATAGTATTGTATGTATAAATATGTAATATTGTCTTGTTGTACTTGCAGATATGGCTGTTTATTTTCATTTGCATATATATAGATATAATATTGAATGACCGTTACTGTATACTAATTCAATCTATTAAGAAAGATTTGCGAGACAGTAACCGAAGTATAAAATGCAAGCTTTTCTAAACGGTATATTGTACAATCTGTCTACTTGGAAAACAACATTATCAAAAGACATTGTATTTTACACTGTGTATCGTCCGGTGAAAAGGAGAATATCTAGTAGGGATCTATGTCCAATAATCTATCAAACTTTCTAAAGAAAGGCGATAGTAGACAGGTACATTAACAGATCAATTACTCTACACACATATTGATGATTGTTATTAGGTTCAAATACAATTCTGTTCTAATGACTTATTGTGTGTGATCGTTATCACCGGAATACCCCCTATTGTATGAAACACTATAGTTGATGTACTCCCATCCGTCTAATATGTATACCCTTAACGTCATTCACTCGCTATTGCAGAGAGCACTACTGAGGCTTATTGTACACAATCGATGGAACCGAAAGGCTTCGAAACAATTGGACGAGAAAATTTATACTACACTTTGGTATTCAAAATAGATGTGCTATCGACGAAAGCCATCTCCTCAGAGGGTCACAAAGTCTCAGAAGACCATCCATTTGGTCAATAACGGAACCCATGGATGTAGCAAGCGGCAGGTGCCAAAGCCGACCTATCGACCAATCAGAGACGTTCTAAGATAATTCGGTTCTGTCACAGGCCTGGCCACAATGTGAAAGCAATGTATGGTTGCTAGTGATACTACAGTGGTAGTACGTAGTGTCAGTGCGGCTTTCAATAGGTACGTAATTGTGTCCGGTATAAACTGCTTGGTGACAATTTGTTATGGACCTCGCAGTGAGTACATATGATATCAAGTGTGGGTGTATTAAGCGTTTATGTTGGGAGTGTTTAACTTGTCTGACACATCTTAGTTTTTGTTTTGCTGTGTTTACCAGTGAAATTGTGATGCATTAAACTAGGACATGAACATGCATTTCAGGTGTGCACGATAACAGGTGAAGTAAAAGTGTTTACTATAAAAAGTAAATAAAACCGGATTTCGTTATCGCCGAGTTTACAACGACCTGGAAGGAATGTCGGTTTGTCCCATCGTCTAGAGTTAGTAGTTTGTTAACGAGCGTGTGCAGGATACTTGACAAGCTGCGTGTTATTCTCGTGTTTTGATGAAGCTTTATTGAATTCAATGGAGCGTGGATATCTTATTAGATCTCAGTTGTTGAGGTGGAACCATTAGATTTGCCACATTGTGTCGGTATCAACACGGTAGGGTTCAATAGCCGTACTATTTGTTGACACACCACGGTGGGATAGTGTATTCTCAGCGGGAAAGACACGTCTTTTGTGATTTTGTATGTGTTATGAAGCGAAAAGTGTCGCTTCACAGCGGTATATTGTCTTTCTGGCGCACAGGTGGCACTTGTGGGCAACTGTCTGGTTTTTAAAACTAATAACACACATTCGATTCATTATCTGAAAGTCTATTTTTAGCTTCATCTGTACTATAAACTTTTCATTTTCATTAAAAATCGTTCTATTTTAGTATCACTTCAAAGAAATCATCCATTTTTGTGAGTTTGTAAATTTTACAAACCTTTTGCATTCTTTCTTATCGGGTGTGATTTTAAACCTCATTAGCACTGAGTGGGATATTTATTACTCTACACAAACGACATGCTACGTTTTATGATCTGTATTGCATGAATCCAGTCATGTATTTCTATGTTACTCTGTGGATTTTATTTTATTCTGTCTTGAGTGAAGAGGAATCTCTCTCGGCGCCACGGACAGCGGGATTGGGCACTCGGCGTATAGCCCGTAAAGAAGGGGATGTCATTTTCGGGGCTTTGTTTCCTATGCACAAGAAACCGCCAGAGACAACTGTTTATACCCGTTCTTGTGGAGTGATTTGGGAACAATACGGCATTCATAGACTAGAAATTTTTTTGGAAACTCTTGATAAAATAAATGCAAATCCCAACATCCTTCCAAATGTGACGGTCGGGTACGATATCCGTGATTCCTGCTGGTACTCACCTATAGCTCTAGAACAAAGTATTGACTTCATTAAAGATTCCCTAGCGAATTTAGATGCACAGGAAGCTCGTGAAAATAATTCAACACGAAAAGGTGGCTGCAAAACAGAGAACCGAAAGCCAATAATTGGTCTTATCGGACCTGGTTCCTCTCATAACACCATACAGGTTCAAAACTTGCTGCAGATATTCCATATTCCACAGATCGGATTCTCGGCCACAAGTATGGAACTAAGCAACAAAAACTTGTATGACTACTTTCTTAGAGTAGTTCCCTCAGACAAATACCAAGCTCAGGCCATGCTGGATATCGTCATTAGGTATAACTGGACATACATATCCACAGTTCACACTGATGGTAAGTCAAAATGTTTTCATCTTTTTCACATATTTTTTCCGAAATTTTGTTTCTTCAGGCAATCAAAGTTGAGAATATACATATAACGTTTGAGATTAGAAAATACCAAAGCATGTTTTTCTTGGATGCTTGCGTAACGGCAATACATGCTTTAAGATGCGGTCTGCAGCTCACATATGACGTCATATAAGCATTTTGTGAGACTGAATCGTGACTTGTATTGATAATGACAGAAACACGGCCACGGTGTTGGTTATGATACTACGAAACCCTCTGAAAGGCACAAATTTCGCCTAAAATTTATATCCTTATAGCTATTTAAGGTATCCATAAATGTCAAAAACATTTCCTGTCTATAGCCATGTATGTAATTTTGGAGATATGTTCTGTCTGGGAAAAAACCTAACTTCCTACTTATAACAGTAATATCATGACGGACTTAAGTGTTGTATGTACTTCAGCACCTAGGCGGGCTGCATGGTGGAGATGGATATTATTACGTAATTACACAGTGGCGTAGATAGGGTTTAGGGGTAAAGGTAGGCTGCAGATATATGTGACTTTCACATGCTAACTTCTGTCTGGGAAAACAGAAACAATTCTAACACCACCAAACTATTTCACAACAAAATTCTTTTTCAAACTTTTATCGTATATATTTCTAGATTATAGAACATGTAAAATACATCGCGTGACTCTAGAGAAACCCAAAAAATACAAAGTACAGGATTTGTGAAAAGACAGGATGGCCCATGTTTGATTAGAGTTTAAGCAATATAACGATATGACAATTTGTCTGATATATGCTCGTCTGGACGTGGCTGTTACCTGGCAATGTTTGTCTAACCCGCATGTGCTCCACTTTTTCCTCGGGAACATTGATTTGTATTTCAATCTGTTTGTAAAGTGTTGAAATTTTCCCACTACTTGAAGTATTTGTATAAGATCAGAACATATAAACTTGTCGACCTTGAGATGACACCAGAGTAAAACGCTTTGGTGATTCAGCATACTTGTATTTATTGCTCAGGGTTATCATAGTTCATGCATTATTTTACCTGTCAACTATAAACTCGTAATTTAGCATCGCGTGCGGTTGCACGTTCGGAAGAACAAATATACAACTTTACGTAATAGTGACAAATATGTAGCGTTGAAATATTTATACGGATGTAAGAGAGTTTGAAAATCTTCAAAATCACTTGAAGTGGGCTTAGGTTTAAAGAATTTTCACGGTGCAGTACTCAATGGAGAAATATTACTAGCAAGCTTGTCTTTGTACTGACAATATATTATATAATACTGTGTTATGGTATCAAAGTTTCGTAGTATAAATCATCAAATATATTCTTAGTAAATCACTTAGACCTTCATCCGTTATAATAAGTATAAAAGTATGTAACAGACAGAGTTATATATCCTTTTCAATAAATATTTAGATCTGTATATAACATAGAGACATAAAGTGACACCCAAATTTTATGATACTCAAGACTTACACAGTCATTAAAGCGAAATAATACAAGACAATGTTTAAATTGTAGGTTTAGGAATAAATTTTGATATTTAAAGTATTCGTGTTACATAACAATCAATAGAAAAAATTGAACTATAACGACCATAATACAACATAAATCAGCCGATTGTCTATATGCAAAGCTAAATTGTAAATGGAGTTGAACTGATTTGTTGTGCAGAATACGAGATTATATCACCTAAATAATCGATTTCAAAGTAATTAAACTCGTCTAAATTGCATGTGGATTTTTTTATGCGTCACTGTAATTATTTTTGGTGTCTTCAATTTTTCATCAAAAAGAATATGCAGTGCCTTTTGATAATGTTACACAATTTTGAAATAAAAAATAAGAAAATCAACTTTCTGTTTCAATTATTCACATTTCAAATATTTTTATTTGTCTAAAATATGTTTCTTAACGAAATGCATTCAATTCGATGTTATGAATAAACGAAGCTGAGATAAGTGAAATACGAAATAACTTTAATTGAATGTGAGTGTTATTAGTTCTCCAGTATTGATTTCCTATTAATATGTTGTGTTAGATTTTCGGTATCAAGACACTTATAAGTCATTTCTCATAAATCATTCCTGATTTTCTCAAATTTAACAATTAATAACTCTAACAATGAACTATGAGTTTAAACAGCTTTTGTGCAGCTGAAGACTTTGAATGTATATCTGTATTATTTTATTAAAATAAAATGACAGTATTGATTAAATAAATAAATGATTTGTTATAATGAATCAATGACTGAAGTGGCAAGTTGACGTCGCTTTAACAACATCCTGTTGTATAAACAGTATGCTAAGAAATGATCGCGATGTTGACAAAAAAAATTTGTAAGGGGATCTTCAATAGTACAGTTGCTATATATGAAGATTTGTGAATCCGTCCGAGCCAGGAATTGGCTGAGATTTTGTTGTGTCTATTTTAGCAGAGTATCGAGATTTGTGTTTTATATGTCTTTTTTGTAACAAACGGATACTAAAATTACGTCTGGATTTCCCAGAGGATCCTTCCATTTTGATACAAACAGATGCATAGTGTAGTCTGGTTTCTGATTAACGGGATGGTGTCTTATTCATAATGGCATGTTCTATGAAGCGACACAGCATTTGACGTGAAAAAACTTTACAATCAAACACCTGTGTTTAACGACTGTTGTCTGAACTGTTATCGTGAAAAATACAAATACATCTGTTCAAAACACTGTGTGTGAGGTAAAACACAACACCCTGGTAATTGCCAATTATAAATTACTCCTCTAAGATGAAGTTCTATGCACTTACTTCAGAAGGTAAACCATTGATTGGATTTGCTGTGGTGATTGTGATGTGCTGTTTAAAACATGATATATACTGGAGTTTTTGTGATGATGGTGAAGGCCCGTAAAACTGGTATATTGGAGTTGGAGTGATGATTATGATGATAGCCTGTTTAAAAGATGGCAAAAATGAAGTTGATATGATGATGGTGATCGGCTGTTTTAAAACATGGTATATAATGGAGATGGAGTGATGATGGTGATGGCCTGCTTAAAAAAACATGGTATGTTGCAGTTGGAGTGATGCTGGTGATGGCCTGCTTAAAACATGGTATGTTGGAGTGATGATGATGATGACAGCTTCTTTGAGATGGTATATATTGATGTTGATATGATGATGGTGATGGCCGGCTTAAAAACATGGTATGTTGTAGTTGGAGTGATGATGATGGCCTGCTTAAAAACATGGTATGTTGGAGTGATGATGGTGATGGCCTGCTTAAAAAACATGGTATGTTGTAGTTGGAGTGATGATATTGATGGCCTGCTTAAAAAACATGGTATGTTGTAGTTGGAGTGATGATGTTGATGGCCTGCTTAAAAAACATGGTATGTTGTGGTTGGAGTGATGATGTTGATGGCCTGCTTAAAAAACATGGTATGTTGGAGTTGGAGTGATGATGATGGCCTGCTTAAAAATAAGGTATGTTGGAGTGATGATAGTGATGGCCTGCTTAAAAAACATGGTATGTTGTAGTTGGAGTGATGATGTTGATGGCCTGCTTAAAAAACATGGTATGTTGGAGTTGGAGTGATGATGATGGCCTGCTTAAAAACATGGTATGTTGGAGTGATGATGGTGATGGCCTGCTTAAAAGCATGGTATGTTGGAGTGATGATGGTGATTGCCTGCTTAAAAAACATGGTATGTTGTAGTTGGAGTGATGAAGGTGATGGCCTGCTTAAAAAACATGGTATGTTGGAGTGATGATGATGATGGCCTGCTTAAAAGCATGGTATGTTGGAGTGATGATGGTGATGGCCTGCTTAAAAAACATGGTATGTTGTAGTTGGAGTGATGAAGGTGGTGGCCTGCTTAAAAAACATGGTATGTTGGTGTTGGAGTGATGATGGTGATGGCCTGCTTTAAAAACATGGTATGTTGGAGTTGGAGTGATGATGAGTTGTTGTGATATTGATGATGATGACCTGTTTAAAAACATGGTATGTTCGAGTAATGATGATGATGATGCTGATGGTGATAATGATGATGATGGCCTGTATAAAAGATGGTATATATTGCAGTTGGAGTAATGATGATGATAATGATGGCCTGTATAAAATTTGGTACATATTGGAGTGATGATGATGATGATGATGATGATGATGATGATGATGATGATGATGGCCTGTTTAAAAGATGGTATATATTGGAGTTGGAGTGATGATGATGATGATGATGATGATGATGATGATGATGGCCTGTTTTAATGATGGTATATATTGGAGTTTATATGTTGAAGGCCTATTTAAACATGATAAACATGACAGTTATTTTTTCTTCTTTTTGAAGAACCCCATTTTGAATTCGCGATGACTTAGTACATTGATATGGGAAAACATTGTCACCACATAAGGACCGATAAAACGAACTTTGAATTAGCCCTTAACAGCGAAAAATGTTAACCTTTATAATTCATATCCGGAGTACGACGATATCGAGCAAACTTATCATTGTTTATGTTTAGTAATGTGGGTACCAGAAGTCATTGACTGGACTACGACAAAGACAGGGTTAAAGAAACACGATACCGAATACGTTCGACTGATAATGGAATAAGATATGGTATCAGCTGATACATTTACAAGTAGTGTTCTAGAGATATTTCAGGTAAATACGCCAAACCGACTTATCCTACACGTCATTTTCTGTAGATGTTTACCTAATGTATCAATGTAATCGTTGTCAGGCCATTACGGTGAAGGTCCGAAATCTCTACGAATGAATTTTATGTAAATCAAATATTAAGATCCAAGACCGGCTTATCCAAAAGAATATTGTTTTTGTCATTTCCGGTAAACCATGCTCGATCATACTTTAGAGAGTATACTCGTCTGAACTTTTTTGAAAGATTTCCAGCATTTGAAAGCCAGAAGAAATCTTGTTTTAATTATAGGTGTATGTTCCTAGGCAGTAAAGGTAAAATTGAAAG